TTGCTGCGGTCTGCAGTCTGGACGTTAGATGTCGCTGAAAATTACACACTGTAGCTTTAAATCTAATATTTTTCTCTGGAGATTTTTGATATTTTAAGTTGTTGATAAAAAAAAAACTTTTGCCATAGTACAGTAAGAAAAATGTCGAAATAACATACTTGTTACTAAAAAAGCTGTGTGTTTCCATGTAAGCCTACTTTAGCGATCCCTTGGATTTTTCTTGTTAAGATTCTTTTTCATATTTTTCATGGTTTCATGCTGAAGCTCTGCCAGAAGAAAGATCTGGTTTGGATGTGGTGACTGTTTCCCAGGCAACTCCCGGAGGTCGTCTTTGAAGTCCTGCCTTCATCGACTGAACTGTTTACAAGACATAAACAAATATTTCTATGTAGTAGAACTTCTATATAATATAAAAATGACACTTTTTTATTTGCCATAAATGGTGTTTAGTGAAAACCAATTGAAACCAAAGTCATTGTTTGATAGCATAAACTTTACTAATAAAACTGGTTCATATTGTCCAGTGTAGCATTGTCACAGAAACACTCCCACAGTGTCATGCTGCCAACACCATGCCAGACCATAGATGCAGGTTTTTTTGTTTAATGTCATCTAAAAATATTCATATTGACACCTTAAAACATAACTTTTTATCATTATAGCCATTCAGCGTATTGTTTCATTTAACAATAAACTTTGTCTGCATGTGGTATTGGCTTTTATAATATTAACAGCTATATTTAAGCTTGAAGTCTTTATATTTGACTTTATATTTGACATCAAGAAGATCATCAATCCCCTGAAACTGAGGTGCAGTGCCTGAACAGGTCTCGCCATATATGCCTTGGTCCACCTAAGCAGCTGAGCTCAGGAGCATATCTAGTTTTCATTGCAAGCACAATGCATGAAATTGGTCAACATGGCTTGTTGTCTAAGATGGAAGCATCTTTTAATCTTCCAAAAAATGATGCACATGAATGAAAGTTTTCTAAAGACAAGCAGACAGAGGACATAGATTACTGGAACCATGTCCTGTGGGTTGGTGAGACTAAGATAACCCTATTTGGGTTAGATGGTATTGAGTGTTTAGAAATGAGCAATTAGTAGTATGAAGAAAAAAATCTTGCTTATAATCAAACATTGTGGTTGATGCGTCATGGTTTGGGGCTTTATTGTCATGGTTGTACCCTTTTCATCTATGTCAATCTGCTTTCTTGATCTTTGGTTTATTTTCCATTTTGTGTTATATTTAAGCTGTGTTCCATTTTTTTGAGTTACTCTCTGTTGCCCCCTTGTGCCAGTCTCCTTTCCCCCACACCTGCTTATTAGTCCACTAATTCTTTTGTTTCCCATATATGCACCGCCTCTACAGTTCCTTATTGTTGGTTTCTTGTTGCCGCTTGGATCACCATGTATGTTTCCCCCTGATGTCTCCTGGTTTTTGGTTTCCTGTATTTTGATTTTTGGATTTTGTTTCTTTTGTCTTTTTGGTTTCATTAAACTTGCAAGAACTTATCTCT